AAAAAAAAAAAAAAGTAAATAGAGCCATCTTTGTCTAATTACCAGTGTGCCCTTGGTGAGATCTTTGGCTTTCCTGATCTTGTGGTGCAAATAAAAAAAAAAGTAAATAGAGCCATCTTTATAGAAAAAATACACTACGTCCAAAAGGAGTGTAAAAAGCACAAAGGCTGCAACTTGCAAGGATGAAGTCAGCTGGGGCCACAAGATCAGGAAAGCCAAAGATCTCACCAAGGGCACACTGGTAATTAGACAAACATAAGTTGGTCTTTTGTTCAGACGGAGGAATAGTACAAAAATCTGGTACAGCAGGCTCAAAGCTAATAATTCGCGAAATTCCAGAACTATCCCTAGGTCGGCAAGCAGGCATGTTGACCTGCTGTCTGCTTATTCCCCCTTCTAATAAGTAGTAAAATGCTGATGATTTGTTGCACCTATATAAATTTTATTGCTAAAGCAGTCTGTTGTTAATGATGGTGCTTGTTTCACATAGGTAGCATGGTAAAGCACATTCGTTGCACTTGGTGTCCTACGCTTGTGAAATAATGCCGCTAACATGTCATTATTTCAGGAAATTCCTATCCGAGAACAAGCATGTCAAATACTTGCACATTCCATATACTGATGCAGTTGTGGTTGTGACATGCAATCCTATATCTAAATCGCGAGGTCCACCAAAGCATAAACCTAAATATACTACAGAAGAAGCCTTGCAGCATGTACGAGTTCTCTATCGGGAGTCATTGCAGAAGTACAGGTATGGTGGCATTGAACTGGCCTGTAAAACCATATTTCAGAACATTCTTTTCCTTGCATTTCTGAATGATGTTCTGTTTTTGGACGAACTTCCCCATGTAGTTTTAGCTATTCTCATACATTGAGAAGGGGCCCATTTTTGCATAGGACCTTTTCCTGAAAGGGAATAGGTGAAATAATAAATTTTTTCTCACCTAATTTATGTGAGGTAATTTTAAAAATTTAGACACTTGCAGTAATAATACTATCAGCAACATTCATAAATTGCAAGAATTCATTTAGCTATTCATTTTTAGCTGTAACGTTTTGCTAATCGAACTAACATTTCAACCACTGCTTTAAAATTGTGTTATAATATTACACGTAATCATCATTAATTGACGAATACAAGTAATAGTGGAGAACAATACGACAGCATTAGTTGAAAAATTTGTTTGATAAGCAAAACGTTACAAGTAATTCAGTATTACTTGTAAAATGCTGAAGATCCTATGTTTCTATTTTTAAAAAAATGTTAATTACTTGCTAATAAGTTTTACCACTGGTTGCAGAGGTCAAGTTGCTGATTCTGGTTCTCCTGAACCTGAGATAGATGAACTATCATTCACTGAACTGAGAGATAAACTACTTGCTTTGGATCCTCTCAACAAGGAGCATGTAATTGAAATCAACAAAGCTGAGGCAGAATTCTGGAGGAAATCAGAAGGATATCGAGTAGGCTGGAGTGATGAAATTTTAGGCTTTGACTGTGGTGGCCACCAGTGGGTGTCAGAGACATGTTTCCCTGCAGGAACCTTGTCAAAGCCTAGCATGAAAGACCTGGAGTACATTGAGGAATTGATGCAGCTCATTGAGAAAGAAAGTGTACCTGCTCCTGCACCTATAGAACAGAGATGGACTGCTTGCAGCAGAAGTCGAATGAGTCCAGCTTATAGCTCAGCGGATGGTGATATATTCTCATGGGTAATATTTTTAGCATGTGAATCTTTGCTTTGCTTATATGAAAAAGCTCCTTTATGCTGGAGCCTGATTATGCACCCTAAATTTGTTGCACAAATTCAAGAAACTACTAAATCAGAAATTAGATATAAAACCATGATGGGTCTTTTTTGTAATCTGTTTTAGATAAAGTAACAGGGTAGGGCTGCGTATACTAGACCCTTGTGGTCCGGCCCTTCCCTGGACTTGCGCATAGCGGGAACTTAGTGCATCGGGCTGTCCTTTGTTTTAGATAAAGTAAAAACCACGATTGACCTTTTGTTTGGCAGTTGAATAAATTCTCACTAGCGTCTTCTTTTGATTTGCTTTTGACTGGGGTGTCATGTACTCTGTCATTGTGGTTGAGGTCTTCTTTTTTGAGGTTCACGACAGGATACTCAGCACAAAATGCATGCAAATCCAAGCTGTGAACTGATTTAAGTCCTTGATCCAACTGCATCTTCTTCGGGAAAAAAAAAAGGATTTTAATCCCATGGATGGTGATACTTAGATGAGATATCCCAACTAATGCGGACAATATCAAGTAGAAATAGACCTTAAATGAGGGCAGGTGGGTTTTATAATGTTTATCTGAACACAGACCTTGGTGGCCTCATGTCCTTTACATGTGCCTTGGTTTTAATTTACTTCATTTCTATTAAAATTTGGATAAATACTGGATAACCTTCTATTCAGACAGTGAGGTCCTCTTTCTGCTTCCACCACATCCGTGATTATCTTTTTACACCTGATATACTTGATGCATAGCTTTAGTACTTATATCCCTTCCAATATGTTGCTAGGTTGGAATAATTATGTATCTTCCAACCATGGATGCTCGGCAGAGGAGGCAAATCACTGAGGAGTTCTTCCACTACAGGCATATGACGCAAGCGCAGTTGTGGGATCATTACTCTGCTTTTGAACATTGGGCGAAGATTGAGGTATGAGTTATTTTTCAGAATTTCTCTTTAAGCCAAGTCATATAGGAGCATAGAGATACTGTTAACCTATCAGTTCCTCTTTAGTTTTGTTATTTTATTTTGCTTTATTATGAGGGAAACTTGCCCCAAGGGAAGAGAGTTCAATGGGCAATGTCTCCATCCTGCTACAAAATCCATTGGAATTGGTGCTGAAAGGGGAAGTCTGGTATTTTTTGAAGTATCTAAAAGATAAAGTCAGTACTGATTCTTTAATATTGCTGAGGAGAAACTGTGCAAGATAAAAGAGATTAGATCTCCCCTACTTCTTCCACTATTTTGCTGCTTTAGCTCTTATTATTGTGATTTTGCAATTCTGAAGAACTGTGAAATTGACGGGAAGATAGAGCTATCTTCTTGTACCTGTTCCATGCACTTGGTCTTTACTTTCTTTAACGATAATCAATCTTAGAGGTGATTCAATTTGTCAAACTGCTGGTTAGAAGCTTCATCGAGAAACATGCTTCTAAAATATGTAGTTGTAGTTCCTATTATCAAGCATAAGCTCATCCTAGGGGATCTTTACAGTTCGTTGTCATTCTAAATTGCCTAAGAAGTAACCTGAGAAGATTCTCAGTTGAAGTGCTAAAAACACAATAGCATTTTAGAGCCTTTTCAAGATTTACTTCCTTGATTGACACAATCACTGATCTCTTCATCAATAAAATTAAAAAAAAACCATGTGACTGATATGTTGCAAAGCATGATTAGCTCTGGTTCTGGTAACAATGTAGAAAGTGGGGCAAATATGGAAGACATCAAATTGGAGTTTCACCTGTTCGTTTAAATGATTGTCTCAAAGCATTAGAGTAAACTATTCTCTAAATACTTATTTCAAAGTGGATTGCATCTTCTGACTTGAGGCAAGCACGTATAGGTCATATAACTTTGTTCATAGACACTTGCTTTTAGAATTTAAAAGATAAATTGAGACAGCCATATCTCCAGTAAAGTTGACTGTTAGGTACTCTAAATGGAGTGGATTGCGGTTACCATTTAACTACATGTTACTTCCAGGTTCCTAAGGACAAGGAAGAGCTTGCCTCTCTGCAGGCAAGGCTAAAGAAGAAATTTCCGGTGGATGCATACAATCAAGCACGAAAGGAGCTGGACCCAAACCGCATCCTTTCTAATAACATGCTTGAGAAGCTCTTCCCTTCATCTGAGGCTGTGTAACTGGTTTCTTGGTTGGTTTACGTCTTTCTTATCAAATCATTTGAACTATAGTGATCTTCATCTTCACGTTTCTTTCAAAGCAAATATTTTGCGGAGGAAATTTGTCCTGTACATTGTTGTTCAGAATGTTAAGTTAAAAGGAATTGTTATAATAATGATTGTCATGCATTGTATATGCTTGAGCCAGTCTCCAACTTGATTGCCGCCTTCAAGGACAATTTATGGATAGATCGGGAATCTAGTCTGAGGCTAAAGAATTAGTTATGGCTTCAAGTATGTTGTTTCAGTAAGGATGATGCAGCCTCTACTAGGCCAGTTCTGCACACTGTTTCTTGAGCAATTTTCTGAGGATTCTAATGTATTCTGAATAGTACTTTGGTACTATTGTTGAGCCTAAATTTTATTTTGGAGCAGCAGCCAAATTCTTGTCAACAGAACATGTCATGGTTGTTTTAAATCCAGATTTGAACTGGATAACCTCGGCTGTTTGTAATGAATGGAGCTATAGACTAAGTTTTATTATTTAGTAGTTTGACCCTCCTTAGTTTTGCTATTACAGATTAGTCTTGGTTTATAACCTATTTTCATTTTTACCCCTGATAGGCTTGCTTTATATTCTGTGAGCAGATGATTGTAAAGGCATGTTGAATGAAAATCTGAATTTTTAGCTTTTAATTTCTTTTCTCTTTTCAAGTTTCAATGGCGAATCCACACACTGTTATATGATTTGTTCAGTTGCAATAGTTTCTGCTCCCTTCCATATGCCAATATTATTGGGCTGGAATAATTATAAAGCTGAGTAGTTCTGAAGCAAGAACTCGCACGAGTTAATGAGTATACAGAGACATGGGTGGTGGAGTGAGGAATGTGAATATTAAAAAATATTTATTTTTTATTTAACATCGTGTGCAAAACACATCTTAATTAGCAAGTGTGGAGTAATAGAAGTGCTGTGCAAAGAATTGTTAAGTGATAACACTTGTGCTATCTTTTTAACAAGAGATGGGTAATATAATACAGGAGATTTTTGTAGCATTATATTTCTCCTCTTTTTTTTTTTTTTTTTTGCACTTCCCATGTTTTTCCGTATACTTTTTCTTTCCATTTTTATACTTCTTTTGTTTGGCCAACTGTTTCCAAAACTATCTTCGTCTTTCTTCTCATAGTATTCCAAAACTGCCTACTGTTTCCTTATTGATCTAACACTTATTGAGGCGAAAGGATGTCTGACTCTGATCTCTGTCAAATAGGACGGATTGAACACTTTAGTATCATAAATAAATAGCTTCCAGTTGTTCAATGAGTTGATAGCCAAAATCATGCCTAAATAATTGATCACAAATTTCTATTTTGTCACTGCCATTTCCTTTTGGTAAAAACTAAAAATCAGTGTAATTTCTTTAATTTGGACCTCTCCTCACTTTTATAATATACGATATAGCCCTACACCTTAATCCATTTTCACCTATTCATATTGACAATTTACGTAAAGGCTGCGTAGCTTTCTCAAGAAATTAAAACTCGTGTGGGAAAAGATGGTAATGTGAATGACATACAACACATTTGTTTTATTAAAATAATAATAAAAAAGAAGCTTGTCCGGATCTGCGAGGAAAATGACGTGATTAAACCTAAATTGACAAGACTTATAAATGAGTCAATATTAGGTGATTACAACTTCAATTTAGACAGCAATGTAAGATACATTTTGAAATTACTCAAACAAGGGGATGATATACAAGTATTTGCAAATAACAGATTTAAAGTCAACTTTACCACTCTACCAAGATCTCTTTAATTAAACAAAATAGTCAAAGAACTTATATTAGAAGTTTAGTTTGACTGACAAAATCAAGACGTTGATCAAAGTATAATTAAATTATGAGAATATAATCTTACAAGCCGAAGCAGTTTTGTGGAAGCTGTACTCGCAAGTCCCAACATCTTATATATACACTTCCCATTTCTTTCAAGCATTCCCTTTTCAGCTTATCAATCAACATAATGAACATTTTGGTGGAGAGAATTAAAAGGTTAAGTACTACTATGAGCAGAACTAGAGGGGCAGAAGGGAGTTTATTCGGACCTCCTTTGTCTGAAAATCATACTATATATACAAAGCCATTATATATATATATATATATATATATATAATATTCTACCTCCGCTAATACAAATCCGAAATGATCACCAATTAAACAAACCACATCAAATTTCCTTAATAAGAATTGTAAAGAATATCAGATGAAAAAGAACCAACGATAGATTGAGAAACTTTAATTTTCACTGTCCCG